ATGCGGGATTTAGGGGATATTTTGGATTTTCCTTATTTTAAGCACAAATATCACTGTTTATGGAAAAAAATCACATGGAACGCTTTTATTTATCGATGTTTAGTGATACCATACAACACAAACATTTATCAACACCGACATTTACTTTATCAAGTAATTCTAAATTTCAAGCGCAAGTCTCAGTACATCACGCGTGAACTGTCATGGCTGCTGAGAAGAATGACAGTAACTGGTAAACACGCAGATTAATTTTACTTGGTTTTTGCGTATAAATGGCTATGTTGTTGATAGTGAATAAAAATTCCGTCTTATTGGAAGTAAGTTGAATGCAAAAACAATTTATTTTGCCTGCAGTCGCCCGTATCTAAAAAATACATTTGCACCATAACGGAGATTCAGTGGAATTGTCGCCCTCTCCTAAAGATATCAAATTAAAAAAAATGGAGAGGGGTACATTATTGCAGCTAGTTCAAATCATGACCCCTGGGGAAGGGTGGGACTACAATGAAGGATCAAAATCTTACATAGGAATATAAAAGAGAAATCTTTTAAAATATTCTTCTCAAGAACAGCAAAGTTATGAATAATCATATTTTTATTGAAGCATCCTCAGGTAGTGTAAATTCAAGTTTGTTCAAAACATGACACCGTGGGGTAGGATGGGGCCACAATATGTGAACTTAATTTTATATAGGAATGTATAGGGGGAAATCTGCTGATAAAGAACAGAAGGGCCAAAGTAACTCAGGTGATCGTTGTGGCCCATGGGTCTCTTGTTTGAAGGAAGAATTGTTGGTGTTCCTTGAGTTTGATGATATTTCCTTAACACACCTAAGATGACTCACAAACAATTTTATGATTTAACATACTAGTATCACAGGAATGACCGAGTTACCGGAAATCTGTGTCATTATTTTCCAGAAATTCCCTACCCCCGTCTCAAGGGCAACCCGGTTAAAATTCCTATTTTATAGTACTGAATAGCTCTTGGTTGAAAACGCTCCAGTGCATTTAAATTGTTTAATGTCCAAAACAAACAATTTGGATAAATATTAGGGATGTCAACCGGGTACTCGATCGAACGTCCGAGTATCGAATACTAAAATCGGTACTCGGTTACTCGGATGTATATTTTTTCGTATTTCAAAGTGCAAATATTTATTAAAAAACTTTTATTTAAATATGCACTGTCCATGTCTATACAGTAATGAGCGTCACCTCCACCAGTTAATACCCGTTATCGCTTGTACACACAGTAATTACCGTGACCAATCACTTGACACTGTACACAGCTGTTATCGCTTGTGGCTGTGTACATGTATACACAGTAATTACCGTGACCAATCACTTGACACTGTACACAGCTGTCTTCAACTCTTGTGGCCTTAATTTTTGGATGGCTTCAATTATTAGCATACTGTAGCGAAATCGGACATACCTAGAAATACTGCTACCAATTCAAAAGTGGAGAAATGTTTAAAAATAACTGAAGATTAAAAAAATGTTAAAAGTCAGCTGTGCGTAGTAAATTAAGCGTTTACGGGGGGTGGGGAAACACCGATATATTTAAGGAATCTCTGTCTAGTTTTTTGCGAAGAAGAAATCGTCAAATTCAATTTTCAGAGTTATCACAAAAAAAAAAAACCATTTGGAAATGTCAATAATATACGACACTCGATCACGCCAACGATATTCTTTTTCGCTAGTCTAATCATTACTTAGTTGCATCCTTCTTTCCGTTGATCAAAATGTTTTCCCTAAACAAGAACTGTAAACTTAAGCATTAATTTTGTAGTCATTGGTCATGTCTTTTGTGTTTGTTTGATACATAAATTAAGTACCAAAAATCATTTTCGTTGGTCTCGAAGATTAGAACTACTAAATTGTTTGTAGCATATAATATTTATGTACATATTTAATATATTTAAGAAATAAGGTATCATTTTTAAACATCTATCGGGATATAAATACGGGTTGGTCACGAGATCAAATTCCATAAAGCCCGAAGGGCTTTATGGTAAATTTGATCTCGTACCAGATTATTTTAAGTTCTTAACTACAAACTATCCCAATATTAACTGTGTTCTGATTTTTACATCAATTAAGGGGCCAGATTCGGTCGTTACCATACCTTGTCCTTTTGAAGAACCTCCAATACGTGCGCGGATCGAGGAATTTTTCAAAGGGGATTCCACACCAACTCGGACAAATATGGGTCTCGAATTTCTTCTGAAAAAAATGATATAATTGATAAATAAAAGTAAACACTTTCTCCAAACCTAAAAAACCTATTTCGTGGAAGGTTGAACAAGTTTCTTTCCATAGTTAATTTTCTTTCATTTACATGACTCTCCTAGCTTACCAACCTTTCGGGGGGGGGGGGGGGGTTCAAGGTCTTATTACACTGTGCATAGAACAGTATCAAAGTCTTTGAGACAAATTTTTGATTTTTAAATAAACATTCGTTTGCTTTCACTTGAATCAAAACATAAAGTCGTTTATAAGAAGGATTTTGTTGAAAATACGTACATTTTGTTTTCGATTAAATTTGGTTCATTGAGTCTTCTACTAAAAATGAGAGAATTATTCGGAGAAAAAAAATCTCAGTACCATCCAACTAATAATCGTGTTTCAAATTATTCTGTGTCATACAGTGTCGATCTAAATTTTAAATTATTATGGCTGTATGATAAAATTTGAAATCTTTTATTTAATAACTCTCAAATCCAAATAAATCATTCATTATTTTGTCAAATTTAATTTAATTTTTTGAATTAAATTTCAGCCACATCGTTGAATGCTATGATCTACTAGTATGATTTACAATACGATATTTTTTTTGTTCACAATTAAAATTTCGTATACGTGTTTTTAAACGTTAAGAATGATTATATGATACCAATTAATATATCGGTTAAATTTTTAGCCTCAATTATATGTACAATAAGTTTCCATGGAATATTAATTTTCGGTAAAGCAATAAATATTACTATGTCTTTTATTTCCTAAACAAAAACTAAATGGCATAATTTTTATATTTCAAGAAAATGAATGAAATATTTGGTAAAACTCCGGAGCTTCTGGGTCCTCACCAGCAGTCACGTAGTATCAGGGGAGCTACTTATTCCCAAAACTTAACCTTTTACTATTGAAAATGTACATTGAAAGGGTGGACCCCCACTGTTTGTTGCACCATTGTTAAATCATGGTAATTTGGTAATGTATTAATAAAAATTTGGTTTGTGAAAGATGGACACCCCCTCCCCCCTTCAACAAACACACATACACAAGAAATAGGACTTCGAATTTTGACAATCTTCCTTTTTCGTCCTTGCTTGACAAAATTTTTAAAGTTGTTTTCCTGGCTGGCAAAAGCTATATTACGTGCCTGACCAGAACCCTTAAACACTTCGGGGGAGGGGGGGGGGCTCAAGACCTCCCCCATCCAACCCCCTGCCGTTCTCTGCGTACACATCATTTCTATTCTGGCTACGCGCCTGTACCCCTTGAGAGCATACGTGTACATGTAGATTTTGTCACTTGGAGTTTGAAGATGAGTACCACTTCTGTTGAAATGCTCACTTTATAATAAGTACATGTATCGGAAATTGCATTATAAGCGCGATTTGAAGATAATAGAGAGGTTAAGCATTTGACTGTGTACATGTCTACGTGTACTTGTAAACCTAGAAGTGTTTTTACAAGTACGCGTAACTAACATCACGTTCTGTTTAGCAAACTGTACGTGTATCGATACGTGTAAAACGTCATTTCAACAAGTCAATTTACAATCCATTTGTATCAAATAATTCTATGACTGATTAAAGGAGAGACATAAATGTACGTAATAAACTCTCAACATCACAACAAACACCGCCTGAAATATATATATTCTATAATTTGAGTTTAAGAAGTTACAAGTTCTTACCTCCGTGTACTTATGAATCTACACGTCGTGTACAACTTGTAGAATTACGCGCCATGCAAAACTGGCAGTAAATTAGGGGATTTCCCTAGCTACACGTGCACGTAGACGTACACGGTCATCTGCTTAACCTCTCTAATATAAAGCAATTACGTAACACAATAACCCAACATTAATGACGTAACAATACTTTACCGTAATCCTTTATGACGTCACAATTGCCGTCTCTCGAGTAGTGGAGAGATGACAAGGTAAGTTTTCATTATTCATGGGTTTAATAATTTACTTTTAAACTATATTTCTAAACAATAAAAAGTTTTATTTTGAAATACTGGCTCCGAGGCCATAAAACTTAGACAAGCTAACTTTTGATCTCAGTCTCACTTTTACAAAAGGAATAAATAGTGGAAAAGTGAGACTGAGATCAAAGGTAAACTCGTCTAAGTTTTATGTTCCCGAGGCCTGTCCAATAACTGTTCCATCTTTGCAGAAATTCACAACCCGCGCGCGAAAGCGACTTCTGTAGATATTTCCTGCAATGATTGCAAATACTGTATCCCGTGTAAAAAAAAAAAAAAAAAAAAAAAAAAAAAAAAAAAAAAAAAGCCATTTTATGGTTAATATTTATATCCGTATTATAATTATTTATGATTCAATAAATGACAGTCTATAATTTATTGTATAATTGTGGGGAAAAAATATTGTACTTCATTAACAAGACTTCAGAATAAACTGAGCGATTTTTGATAATCATGATAATAGTACCAATGTTTAGAGTTTAAAAGCTTAATATTTATATTCTTTAAAAGAAATGAAGGAATAAAAAACAAATCTCAAACTATTACAAACATATTGAGTCTTTTTATTATACGTATATTTAAGTAGCATAGTAGATAGTGGATACTGAGGTCCATTTGAAGGTCGATGTGATAAACTGATAACATTATAAATCGGGTACCTGTCATACATGTACTTATTTGAAGATATCGTTATTTTGTATATTGAGATAATTACTTTATTTTTTTTTACATAAATCATTCAATGTGGATATCACTGTTATTTCTTTACAAAGGGACGTTATTGAAAAGTAATGTCGTTCGATCATCAAAGTAAATCCACTGAAAAGAATATCATCTTAGCACGACATTCAAAGGAAACAGTGACGGGGAAGAAGAGAGAAATCAGCATCAAGAAACAAAGTCGGTCAGACTCATCAGATCCGGAAGATATTAGAATAAACGGACCTCTCCTGGAAAACATAGAACATCACTCAACCGGAACTGGACTTATAACAGAACAGAGTAAATCAGGGAGGTTACAATCACCCAGAGGAGAGGCAGCTCAATATAACAGAGAGAGAGGAAACTCAAACGCTTCATCTAGTGGCCTAAAACTTAACGAAGATGAATCGGAGAAAACTCTAGATAGTACAGTGGACGGTGACACACAGGAACCAAAGCGCCTTGTCGATACTGCAAAAGGTCAGGGTCATTCCCACAAGAAGGCAAACAAAAATGCTGTGAAAATTATAAAAGATTTAAACTCACAGGGGACTTCAAATGGCGCTAAAGATAAACCTGTAATGAAATGTCAAGGTCAGGACATAAAAGACGACAAGAAAGATAAGCCAGTTTCAAAGAAGGGTGTGATCAGCACCAAGGAAAATAATCAAAGATCGAGAATACCTGTATCCGAAAACTCAAAAACTTTTACGGTTAATCATATTAATGGAGAAAATATCAGATTAAATGCTCAACGAAATTTTTCACTTCTTTCCGAAAAACTGTCATCTTGCGATACCAAAAGCTCGAAAACATCTTTAGAGAATTTAGAGATAAAGGGAAATAAATTATACGATGAGTTTATGGACATTAAATTTTCTTCGTCACATAGTTTACAACGGAAATCGCCCAATAAGTCAGTAGCGAAACAAAACTCTAAAGGATTAGTATATGCAGCGATGCCTGGTCGAGTACTGGCTTCATCCGCGGCCAGGAAACTGGAACAGAGGAGGGGACCTCATACAGGTACCGAGACTAAAGAAATTGAGTATCCCCGCAGTGTGGGGCAGGATAACCAAAATAACATGACAGTCGGTAGTCATCAAAGTAATGCATCGCGTAACAGAGGGACTGCAAATGAAGATGGAATCTCCTTAGAAAATTACGTCAGAAAATCATCTCATGACAGCTCAATATCAGTGGAATGCATGAGAAAAACCCAGGTCAGAAAGTCATCTCATGACAGCTCAATGTCTATGGAAAACAGGAGAACATCTCACAAGGTAACAAATTAACAATATGTCTCAATACGGTTATTTTGCATTATATGGATTGAGATTCATCGAATGAATGGCTTTAGTATGAGGCTGTTTATATTTTGAAGGCCACAAGACACGGAAATATTGCAAAGAAGAATGCAAAAAGACAGCATAGAAGAATCAGTCAAAAAGGGTTTTCAAGTGAATCAAATACAAAGTCCGACGAGGAAACTCAGGTAATAACAAGGTTATCTCAGACAGAAGGTAACCTCCGAGGAAACTCAGATAATAACAAGGTTATCTCAAACACAAGGTAACCTCAGAGGAACCTCAGGTAGTAACTAGGTTATCTCAAACACAAGGTAGCCTTTGAGGATACTCAGGTAGTAACTAGGTTATCTCAAACACAAGGTAACATTTGAGGAAACTCAGGTAGTAACTAGGTTATCTCAAACACAAGGTAACCTTTGAGGAAACTCAGGTAGTAACTAGGTTATCTCAAACACAAGGTAACAAGCGAGGAAACTCAGGTAGTGACTAGGTTATCTCAAACACAAGGTAACCTCCGAGGAAACTCAGGTAAACACAAGGTAACCTCAGAGGAATCTCGGATAATAACAAGGTAACCTCAGAGGAATCTCGGGTAAACACAAGGTAACCTCAGAGGAATCTCGGGTAAACACAAGGTAAACTCAGAGGAATCTCGGATAATAACAAGGTAACTTCAGAGGAATCTCGGGTAAACACAAGGTAACTTCAGAGGAATCTCGGGTAAACACAAGGTAACTTCAGAGGAATCTCGGGTAAACACAAGGTAACCTCAGAGGAATCTCGGGTAATAACATTTAGGTTAACTCCGAGGAATCTCAGGTAAACACAAGGTTAACTCCGAGGAATCTCGAGTAGATTTAAGGAGATTTTGTTGATACTTTTGAACCCTTGTATACAAAATTGTAAATGAGTATCGTAAATATATCATTATTCACAGGGTTCGCAGCTATCATTTTCTGAAGATGACGACGTGATGGAGGATTATCCTGCTCCAAAACCACCATCTTTTCTACGTCCCACGACATTCAGTGATGAAGGCTTCGACACAGTCAGTGATCACGTCCTTAAAGTAACTTTACCTGAATAGACAGCTTTTATTAATGCTGAAAACGTAACTGCATTTCAGTACTGAAAATTTAGAATCATAACATAAAGAAAGCTATAGTGTACCAAGCTTCCTACTCTAAATAATGACTTATAAAATAGTAGAAATAGCTAAGCGTAGCTGGAAGCTAAAATATTTACTACTTTTTTGGATGCCCGTGAAAGCTTATCATTGTTTATTATTGTGAAGACACAATAGAGAATTGAAATAATCTCTGCAGATGGAAAATTATATCAAAATTAGAAAACTTTGAATATAAGCATAAAATGAGTTTCTAAAATAGAAATGAAAAAATATCATTGTATTGAACTATTTATTGTCTCTAGGCCTCATCAGAAGAAACCGGAAGTTTTAGTTCACTGCTACAATACCTATGTGGAAATGTGGAGTCTGAAATAGAGCGCATTCGCGCCATTTACTGCTGGATAGTCAGCCGACGACTTCCTATCATCGATGACGTCACAGATGTTCCATCATCTGAAACTCCCATTGGATACCTCTGTCTCATTACGCAGAGAAGAGGATCCTATGCTGCATTGTTCTGTAAGATGTGCAGGTAATATTTATCAAGTACAAAACATATTATTTTGAGAGTTCATAAGCATCGAACAATTATTTACAAAGATTAAAGAGATTTTCATTCCACGCTTCAAATGGCTTGCCATTAAATTTGCCTATTTATAAAGTAGGAGGGGGATATAGTAACGCGCTTGTTGGTGTGTGGGTGAGTGAGTGCTTGCGTAACGGAAGTGATAATTTAAATCGGGATCGTTGTCATTTGCTGCCTTGCTAAATTGAATATTTGTTGTTTTCTTCCCCTATAATTTGTTTTTCGTAATTTTTAACTCACCTGAGCCAAAGGCTCAAGTAAGCTTTTCTGATCAAAATTTGTCCGTTGTCTGTCGTCGTTGGCGTTGTCGTCATCGTTAACTTTTCACAATTTCATCTTCTTCTCCAGAACCACGGGACCAATTTCAACCAAACTTGGCACAAAGTATCCTTGGGTAAAGAGAATTCAAGTTTGTTCAAATGAAGGGCCAAGCTCTCTTCCAAGGGGAGATAATTACAAAATAGTGAAAAATTAATGGCATCTTTTAAAAATCTTCTTCTCGAGAACCACTGGGCCAGGAAAGAGGATACTCATATGGAATCATCGTCAGGTAGTGTAGATTCAAGTTTGTTCAAATCATGACCCCCGGGGGTAGTTTTGGGCCACAATGGATGATCAAAGTTTTACATACATGTAGGAGTATATAGGAAAAATCTTTAAATATCTTCTTCTCAAGAACAGCAAAGCCATGATTGCTCATATTTATATGGAGCATCCTTAGTTAGTGTAGATTCAATTTTGTTCAAATCATGACCCCCCCCCCCCCCTTGTTTTAGGGGTAGGTCGGGACCACTTATTAATATAAGATTTTCAATACTTCTGAACTGATTTTTGCTTTTTTCCTAGCCATATTGCTCAGGTGAGCGATGTGGCCCATGGGCCTCTTGTTTGTTTTACCATCACAGAAATGTAATTTTTAAAAATTCACCACACGATTCAGTATTATTATTCTTTTTCAAATGTGGATAATGAGTTGTGTGCAATCAGGTTCGGAATTAATTCTTGCCTTGATTCTTAAAGTTAATGGAATTAAGTAGCACTGATAAATAATGAAAAAAAGTGAATTTAAAAATTTTAAAGGTCATGTGAAATGTTTTACTAAATATAAAGGAATTAAATAAACCATGTTAGCATTTACGCGACGACGATAGAATCCCTTTGTTAGCATTTACATTTGAAAGAATTCTCAATACTTCGACCAATTCCTGCCACCAAGCGTGTATTGATGCTGAATAATATTGTGTTCTGGAGTAGATTGAATCAGGAATCAATGGCAGTTGATAAAAAAATTTGTATGATATTTCTTTTTACATACCTTTTAAAAAATGTGCCCTTATGCGATTATTAACTTTTTCTATAGTCGCCTGTTTGGCGCAGTGGATAGAGCGTTCGCTCTAGAGTCGCGGAGTAGGGAGTTGATCCTTACGTCGCGGGTTCGAATCCCACTGTGGGACGTGGAGACCGGTTCTTCGGATGGGACCGTATAAACCGAGGTCCAGTAGGTGCTGACACGAAAAAGATCCCAATGCTCAATGGCTCTAGGTGCCGAGTATAGGTCAAAACTTGCAGTTCTGAAAGTGGTGGCGTCTCCATATATGTGAAAAATTCTCGAGAGGGAGGTTAAACAATAAAAAACAAACAAACAAAAAACAAACTTTTTCTATATATCACTGTAATTGATGATCTTCCATTGCTCACCTTACTGGTTTACAATGTGAAACATCATTTAAAGAGTTGTCTCTTATCTGAAATTTTCGATAGTTTTTATGCTACGGAAATAAACACTGTATATATTTTTTATTTTGTAACATGAAGATATATACGAGTATCTGAAACATAGAAGGCGGATCGCTTATTATGTTTTCTTTAAGGTCCGCCCTGAAAGTTTGTTCTACAGAAATAAACCCTGCCCAACCCGCAAACACAATTTGGTTATGATTTCAGGTATATCAACATACCATGCGTTGTGATTCATGGCGTCAGCAAGGGTGTAGCGTATGAAGTTGGAGAGACTATGAACAACACAAAACACAGAAATTCGTGGAACGCCGTCTATGTGCAGGAAAACTGGCGCCTTGTTCATTGTCACTGGGCGTCAAAATCATCGAGGGGATACAAGTCTGGCAAATGGGTTATATTAGATTGTCCGGAATTTCGTAAAGATGCCGTGTATGGAGAGAGTAGATCGTACATAGTCAGTACACTTATAAACGATTGGTATTTCTTGACCGAACCATCAGTATTTATCGACAAGTGTTTTCCGAATGATGACAGATGGCAACTATTAGCAAAGAAAATCACCAAAGCTGAATTTGAATCACGTCCATTTCTGCAACCTGCGTTTCACGCCTTAGGGCTTAAACTCGTGGAACAAAACCATTCATGTGTAGCTCACATTCATGGAAAATATGTTCTTCAAATCCGAATGCCCTTTGAAGCGCGAGACAGATTATGTTTTTCTTATAACCTTTATTTTCTGCGAGATTTTGCGGATGAAGGTGAATATGATTATCCGACTTTAGAGAGGTACACCCTTCATTACTGTTTAAATGACATGGCTTTCTTTGAGGTTCGATTCCCTCCGCTTTGTGTTGGGGAATACAAACTCCAGATTTATTGCTGCAACAGTGAGGTTTGCCTCCCATCAGACTGGATCTGTGATTTCAAAATTGTTTGTGAGAAAGGCATGAACGTCTGTGTACCGTTACCTGTGGTGCCTAAAATAGGTTGGGGAAGGAAAACGGAGCTAGAAAAATACAAGATCGCCGCTGTTTCGCACACAGGAGGTTTGTACTCATTGGACAATGGTGAAGTGACGTTTCTTTTTATTTTCCCGGAAGAGACAGATGTTAGAGCAGAACTAGTGAAAAATGGGCGTTCAAGATCTGAATTTGCGGAGAATGTCAAAGTTGAGAAGAATGGTGTCGATGTTTGTATAACTGTAGAACCTCCATGTGAAGGTGAATTTGCTTTACAGATTTTCTGTCGGGAGCGAGGTGCCCAGAATGATGTGAATGTTTGTAACTACCTGTTGGAAAGGACGTTTCCCATTGAGGTACTTTAACATTGATAAATCAATGAAAATAGGCTAAGTACAAGTAAATAGACAATTATTTATCTAAAATAATCTGAAGAAATCAAGAGATATAATTATTTAAGATAGAAGATGTTTTTCAGTGATGTTAAAGTATTAACATTCTTAGATTTTCTCTTCTTCACTTTACCTTGCAGTCAAAGTCACAAGAACAGGCGAGGAAACACCTCTTGTCTACTATTTTAAGGACATCTGTTACACTACAGGAATTAACAGACGCCATTGAAAAGTTTGTGAATTCTGGAGCTATAGATCGGGGTGAATTGGAGGCAGCTAGAAACAAATTGAACATGTTGAAGCAAAGAGAAGGTAATGGGATTGATTTCTTGATTGTTTTCGTCAATTATCTCTCTAGTTCTGTGTCTTTCGAAATAAAATTTTGAACAGTCTGATGTTTCATATGTTGAACTGTATTATGTTAACCAATGGGCATTAATAAATACTTCTAAATGGTTTTTTGACTTCCTTCAGAGCTCTTGGAAGCCATGGCACGTAGAAATTTAGACAGACTGGAAAAAGTTTTGAAGGACATTAGCGATGCCAAGATGGAGAATGACATAGGTTTAGATATCATATCTAAAGCTGAGGAACTGCTCGCTCACCTGAAGAGATTGATGCGATTCCGGGCAGCTGTCCTGGAAATGGATTCAAAGACAATCTCAGAACTCCGTAGTTACAACAAGCCGCCACTGGCTGTTCACGGAGTCATGGTGGCTACCTATGTTCTCCTGGGGGTCGAGGAAAAGGAAATGAGGGTGAGTTTTTTTTTTTTTAATTTTCTAACGTTAGGGAAGATTTTTAACGTTGTCTTACGTGCAATGTAAAGTCTGATTACTTGGTTTTATGCTGTAGCACTGGGTCGGTGTTCAGAATTTGATTGGTAAAAGAGGCAGAGAGGGTTTAAAGAAGCGAGTGGAGACTTTTGACGGGAAGTCCGTAAGTCAGAAGAACTGGCACAGAGCCAAGGAAATACTGAAGGACTACGATCTCTTCACCGTACAGGACGCCAGTGCAGGGGCCGCCACTTTCTATCAATGGGTAAAGCTTCTTGACTTTAGAATTTACTGATTCTTAGTCCATATACAGACGTTTTTAAAAATAATTATGTATGTACAAATAATTAACAACTAGTACTGTTCATACATTAAACGTTTTTACACGAATCCCCATAATCGAAGATTCGGGGGATATAATTTTTGCTCTGTCCATCTGTCTGTCTGTTTATCTGTCCACAAAAACTTTAACCTTGCCCATCACTTTTGAATGGTTGGAGCTTTGGCTTTCATATTTCACATTTGTATTCCTTTTGACAAGACCTTTCCTTTGGTACCACCATTTTTGACCTCTTGAGCTTGACCTTAGAGTTTGACCTACTTTTGCAAAATTATACCATACTTTAACCTTGGCAATAACTTTTGAACAATTGGTGCTAGGGCTTTCCTACTTCATATGTCTATTCCTTGTGAAAAGACCTTCCCTTGGGTACCATCATTCTGACCCGTTGACTTTGATCTTTGAGTTTGACCTACTTTTGAAAACCTTGGTGATAATTTTTAAATGGTTAGTGCTAGGGATTTCAGAGGTATATCCCTTGTGACAAGACCTTAACTTGGGTACCATAGATTTTGACCCTCTGTCCTTGACCTTTGCATATGACCTACTTTTGAAAAAACTTTACACCTTGGCCATAACTTGGAAATAGTTGGTGCTATGGCTTACATATTTTATCTATGTATTTCTTGTGACAAGTATGCCCTCTGGGTACAAAAATTTGACTTTGACCTTGGAGTTTGACCTACTATTGAAAAACTTAAACCTTGGCCATAACTTTCGAATGGTTGGTGCTATGGCTTTCATATTGCACAAGTGTATTTCTTGTGACAAGTCTTTCCCTTGGATACCAACAGTTTTGAACCTTTGACCTTGACTTGGGAGTTTAAGCTACTTCTGAAAAACTTTAACCTTAGCCATATCTATTGAACGGTTTGTACTATAGCTTTCAAATTTCACAGTTGTATATCTTGTGATAAGACATTTCTTTGGGTATCAACAATTTTGATCTCTTGACCTTGGAGTTTGACTTCCATTTGAGAAACTTGAACCTTCGCCATGAGGTGCCATACAGTGGCATCAGTATTTAACAAACACATCTTGTTTACACTCAGATTTGGATGGATGAAATATATGGAGATAACGAACAGTATTCAAGCTCAAAAGTCCATTAAATAATACAAAATAGGAGCAGAGCAAACACGGACTAACACATATATACATATGTATATTTGAACTGCTTTACATTTTAAAATTAAACGGTGCCCATGTCAAGGATTCCCCTTCGAACATTGCTCCGCTTTTCGAAAAATACAATGTAGTAGGCTCACTGGGACTGCCAAAGAAACACTCCACCCACCCCCACCTCCCAAAAAAAACTTCCAAAACTGTTCATAGTCTGACTCTGAATATAAATTTTGCCTCCAAACTAAATAAAATACTGCCAACTTGGCGTTAAGCGCTAAATAATAATTTATCGGATACAGTTTATGATTTTTTATATTTTAGACTTTACTTGAAGTTTAAATATTTTTTTGCTGCAGGCTATAAATATGATAACAGACATCGAAGAACGGGACCACACTGCAAGCTAAAGGCGTGTCCAGCAGATAAGAGTTTTCAGAGGGTTTTGTTTCAAAATGTACCACAGAACTAAATTCTTGTTTTCTGATTAATCTTTTAAACCGAGAAGAAAGTTGCAAAATTATTATGAATGTACTTTGATTTTTCTGTTTAATATATTAGTGAATCTAAAAGATAAACTTTATTTACCTAGTATGCTGAAATTCGCAAAATGAAGCTTAATTTATTTTATACTTTCCCTAATTATGTTCAGTTTATACGATTTATGTTGTATCATGACAAGGATAAACAATAAAAAAGAATTCTATCAGTGTTTTCTTGTTTACTTTTTTAGATTAAATATACGTCATGTATCTGGTTAAAAGTCAGAATTTCTATAATGACAGTGGTACTTGCAATAGAGGGTTTCATTTCTCTCTCATTCTCTGCCATTACATTGTTAGGATTTTTGTCTGCTGTTGTGCAAAGATGTTCAGAAAAATCATTTATCTGTTGATTTTTGGATACAGCATCAATCACTGTAATTTGAATTCATCAGTTATAAGTAAATTAAATAGTCGTATTAAATCCACCTGTTTAGTCAGATGTAGAGTTGATGAGATAACCATTTATATGATTACAAGGGCAGAATGAGATAACCATTTATATGATTACAAGGGCAGAATGAGGTAACCATTTATATGATTACGAGGGCAGGATGAGATAACCATTTATATGACTACAAGGGCAGAATGAGATAACCATTTATATGATTACAAGGGCAGGGTGAGATAACCATTTATATAATTACAAGGACAGAATGAGATAACCATTTATATGATTACAAGGGCAGGATGAGATAACCATTTATATGATTACAAGGGCAGAATGAGATAACCATTTATATGATTGCAAGGACAGAATGAGATAACCATTTATATGATTACAAGGGCAGAATGAGATAACCATTTATATGATTACAAGGACAGAATGAGATAACCATTTATATGATTACAAGGGCAGAATGAGATAACCATTTATATGATTACAAGGACAGAATGAGATAACCATTTATATGATTACAAGGGCAGGGTGAGATAACCATTTATATGATTACAAGGGCAGAAACAAGAAATACGTGTGTCATATTTGTAGCGATTCGACCGGATATGAGGTTTTAAATACGTATAAGAAAATTTAAATAATGGAATTAGTAAGGCTACTCTGCTACTGCTGTACTAACATTACAGGAAGTAAATCTTGCTTTGTCTGTCCACATGTACATATTGTAATTGTTGTTTACTGCATACTAGTGAGCAATCATTCAATATGATTGGTCAGTATTGTCAGTGGTATTGCTGGATTCTGTGTTTCATATACTAAATATTATTGATTCCATTGAGATCAAACATCCAATCGATGAGTAAAATGATAATCAGCACAAAAAATTTTAGCACGCTCCAACAAGCAAACTGTCACGCTGTTTATAAAATGATAATAATTTCTTCTTAGGTACATTTTTGTTACTATGCACACTACATATAGGTACTAGTATAACATAGGACAAATCAATAAACAGAACAAAGCAATACAAGACATTTAATAAGTATCATCCATATTCGTCTCCGCCGACACACCCCGTCTTTAACAATAACAAGAGGAAAAAAGATTCTTTTATGACTTCCTCGCCCCGTGTTTTTCGCTGCCACACCTTCCTGCTGTGTGTTTTGCTATCTCCACGCCCTTCAGACGAGGAATTAAGTTCACGGCCTTGTCAGGGCTCCGTGTGTTTTATACCTGTTATCAGGATCGGGTATATACCTGGACCACACTCTGGTGGCACGAGAAGTAGATGGGCACCTTTGAGTTTACGGGAAGAGTGCAGACCGGTATTTCCTCAATCATCTATTTATAGTCTTACAACTATAGTCTGACGGCATGAAGAAAAGCTAGGACACATCAGGTAAACCATAATACATTGTTCTTCTCTTCTAGTGGTGAAATGTTTATCAACATTTTTATCGCACTATCAGTACGTCTCTTTATTTATTTATGGAGTTGATAGCCAAGGAAAATGTGTTATTTCTTCATGTGTGGAAGTTATATAGTGTGAAACTTTAAAGGGTTTCCCAGTAGAATTTTACTCATAAAGCCTCTTCTGTTAACAGATCAAATAAAGGATCTTGTACTTGCGTTTTTCTACTTCCAAGACTCATAAGTTTATAACTGTATACTGTTTATGAACAAACTAAAGTACATGTATAACGTATGTTAGCATGTAGTGACACCAAATTATGTAGATTTATGATGAAATGTAGGCAAGTTTGTGGTCGGTAGAATTCCCGCTATCCACGTGCTGGATAATCGTTGTTATACCTTGTTTGTAACCACATCTGTGCCATTTATATTTGCTTAACAAAGCTATTTACGTCAATATAAAATACAGGTATTGATTGTCATAGCATATTTAAAACTTTATCAGAATTCAAACATTAAAGTATTGTAGAGTGTTAATATTTCACTTCCTTTCTTGGTTTAGATGTCTTACTATTCTGTGGGTTCAAGGAGACCTTTTAAATTAACTCGGTCAAGTAGGAAGAAAATTATTATGTAATTCTTAGAACTGTAGGTTTTTATCTAAATGTGCAGAATTTAAAGGATGTCCTCGTAAACGCTGCCGGTAATTTGAGGTAAGATCTGCAGCTTGCATTTCATTTTTTTTCTTCACATGTGCAGTATATTTTCTAAACAAAATTGCTTAAATCAGTCATTTTGGATAAAATTTTGATCAACGTGAAGATAACAAATAGTAACCATACTCAAACATCCAACAAACTAACAACACACAAGTGTAACAAACTAACAACACACAAGTGTAACAAACTAACAACACACAAGTGTAACAAACTAACAACACACAAGTGTAACAAACTAACAACACACAAGTGTAACAAACTAACAACACACAAGTGTAACAAACTAACAACACACAAGTGTAACAAACTAACAACACACAAGTGTAACAAACTAACAACACACAAGTGTAACAAACTAACAACACACAAGTGTAACAAACTAACAACACACAAGTGTAACAAACTAACAACACACAAGTGTAACAAACTAACAACACACAAGTGTAACAAACTAACAACACACAAGTGTAACAAACTAACAACACACAAGTGTAACAAACTAACAACACACAAGTGTAACAAACTAACAACACACAAGTGTAACAAACTAACAACACACAAGTGTAACAAACTAACAACACACAAGTGTAACAAACTAACAACACACAAGTGTAACAAACTAACAACACACAAGTGTAACAAACTAACAACACACAAGTGTAACAAACTAACAACACACAAGTGTAACAAACTAACAACACACAAGTGTAACAAACTAACAACACACAAGTGTAACAAACTAACAACACACAAGTGTAACAAACTAACAACACACAAGTGTAACAAACTAACAACACACAAGTGTAACAAACTAACAACACACAAGTGTAACAAACTAACAACACACAAGTGTAACAAACTAACAACACACAAGTGTAACAAACTAACAACACACAAGTGTAACAAACTAACAACACACAAGTGTAACAAACTAACAACACACAAGTGTAACAAACTAACAACACACAAGTGTAACAAACTAACAACACACAAGTGTAACAAACTAACAACACACAAGTGTAACAAACTAACAACACACAAGTGTAACAAACTAACAACACACAAGTGTAACAAACTAACAACACACAAGTGTAACAAACTAACAACACACAAGTGTAACAAACTAACAACACACAAGTGTAACAAACTAACAACACACAAGTGTAACAAACTAACAACACACAAGTGTAACAAACTAACAACACACAAGTGTAACAAACTAACAACACACAAGTGTAACAAACTAACAACACACAAGTGTAACAAACTAACAACACACAAGTGTAACAAACTAACAACACACAAGTGTAACAAACTAACAACACACAAGTGTAACAAACTAACAACACACAAGTGTAACAAACTAACAACACACAAGTGTAACAAACTAACAACACACAAGTGTAACAAACTAACAACACACAAGTGTAACAAACTAACAACACACAAGTGTAACAAACTAACAACACACAAGTGTAACAAACTAACAACACACAAGTGTAACAAACTAACAACACACAAGTGTAACAAACTAACAACACACAAGTGTAACAAACTAACAACACACAAGTGTAACAAACTAACAACACACAAGTGTAACAAACTAACAACACACAAGTGTAACAAACTAACAACACACAAGTGTAACAAACTAACAACACACAAGTGTAACAAACTAACAACACACAAGTGTAACAAACTAACAACACACAAGTGTAACAAACTAACAACACACAAGTGTAACAAACTAACAACACACAAGTGTAACAAACTAACAACACACAAGTGTAACAAACTAACAACACACAAGTGTAACAAACTAACAACACACAAGTGTAACAAACTAACAACACACAAGTGTAACAAACTAACAACACACAAGTGTAACAAACTAACAACACACAAGTGTAACAAACTAACAACACACAAGTGTAACAAACTAACAACACACAAGTGTAACAAACTAACAACACACAAGTGTAACAAACTAACAACACACAAGTGTAACAAACTAACAACACACAAGTGTAACAAACTAACAACACACAAGTGTAACAAACTAACAACACACAAGTGTAACAAACTAACAACACACAAGTGTAACAAACTAACAACACACAAGTGTAACAAACTAACAACACACAAGTGTAACAAACTAACAACACACAAGTGTAACAAACTAACAACACACAAGTGTAACAAACTAACAACACACAAGTGTAACAAACTAACAACACACAAGTGTAACAAACTAACAACACACAAGTGTAACAAACTAACAATACACAAGCTGAGAGCAGAGCAAACATGGGATCAGGGGCCATGGAGGAGTAAGCATCCCCTGTCGACCGGTCACACCCGCCATGTGCCCTTTGTCATGAGCAGAAATAACATTTTCGCTGATTTTTCACTTGGTTCACATCTTCAGACATTGTCAGTGTATTAAATTATTCTCATAAACTGACATTAAGTACAGCGTAATGACAAATTACAAGTATTATACTGGTATTTTATATAGATATGAGGAAAGAGAGGCTTATACATATCGGTATTATAAACAGACGTGATGCTGGTTACCTAGGGTATATTTTATTTACTATGTAAGTACATGTATACCTTACATGGATCAATATGCTTAGTCTGCCTCTCTCCCAAGATCAAGGTCAAACATGAATGCATATCAAAACATTGTGATACATATAAAAGAAGGAATAAGAAATTAAACAACGGATTACACAAAACCGAGGGTGTTGTTAAAACAACGGATTACACAAAACCGAGGGTGTTGTTAAAACGCAGAGAAGCTAGAAAATAAAAAGAAGGAGAATTGGATGGACTGGAGAAAAGAATTTAAACAGATTAACTGCAGAGTTCAATGGATGTAATGTGTCTCCTGGGCTTATGTAGGAGATTGCAACATTTTATACTTTGATCTAGGGATTAAATTTTTAAAAAAATCACGATCTTTCAGATTTCTTCTAAAACTCACAATAATTCTAATAACACGTACCTGATAAAGATCCCTCGCTTATTTGAAATTATTGTCATGCGGCCCATGGACCATGGTCTGTATGCTCCACTGAGTGATCAAGTCAAACAGTATCATTGTTTTTAGTGTGGCATCACCTAACTGCTGTTAGTTCTCTGTCGAGGACTTATTTTCTTTATAAACTACTTGTTAAATTGAATCTTAATTATTACTTGCAAATTGACACGTACAGTTGTAGTCACTAACGCATGTTTTCTAGTAAGATTTATGTATTCTTTTAGTCACAGAGCTATTTGTGAAAACCACATTTTCGACTGATAAAAACGTACATAGATGTACCCTTCCATGAAGTTTTATGATAATGTGTATAATATAGAGAGTTAGTCTTTTCAGTGGACGTATTAGTCGTCTCAGACGGACAAGCAGACAGACAGCGGACAAAGTTATACATATGTGTCTGTCATGCGACAAAGCCAATAAAACAGTGATTAAGAGGAAATATATACTTAAAACTGCTCTAAAAAAATCACTTTTCCTTGCCAAGAGACAGCTTAATAGGATATTCGAAGTCAAATACATGTACATGCTGCTGTATTTTCACAGCAGTAGTTACAGTCCAGTAGGCCCAACGTCAAACAAATTTCAACAGAAATTATTTTGGGACAAATGAAATATAAGATGTACAAAATATATTCAGTAAAAATTTAAAGAAAACCCAATGAAGGAAAAGCACAATTTTGGCATATCTTATTACCTATGAGAATTACTATAGAAAGGGGACTTAACTCTATAAATCTTTCCAAGTAATCAAAAGAAAATTGTTGTTTTTCATGATAGCGGAATTTGATTTAAATATTTTTATACAGTTAAACATATCATTACTTCACATAGATAATATAAATTTCGAATGTATGGTCTGAGTTTACCTTGTGCTTTTTAGTTATTTTGGAAATGTTAGCATTTTTAACACATCAATAGTGATTAATACAGTTTAGAAAAGAATAGATATGAAATAATTTAGTATGCATCGATCGGTGCACTTTGTTCATAAATATTAAATATAATAAAAAAAAAAGTGTGCATAAAGATTTAGAGACAAAACTTGACCCATGTTCTGATAATCTCTACACTAAAATTTTATGTAGCCCCAAATAATGATTTGCCCTTATCCGATTTTACTAGATATTTACCACATTTACATTGTGCATTTTAAAGTTTATTTATTAGAGAAAATCTGTTGCAATTAGTTTGATGTATAATGATAAATTGTAGAGAAAACATCTATTAACATATAAAACACTAATATTTCTACCGGTCTCCAAACTTCTATTGCATTAGAAAAACTAATGTTCATCCATTTTAAGAAATTGGTCCCTTTACTATGCTATTATTTAATTTCTCCAAAAAAAAAGAACGAAAGAAAGAAAGAATACAACTGTAGAGAAGATAAGAAATGTCTACATGTATTGTTCTTATGTTACTAATGAATGCGCTGATAACACGGCTGTCAGTCTCTATGAATCCTTGAAGATACAACTTACATACTAAAACTTAAAATACACAAATACTGAGATTATCATACATCGACTTTTTGTTTCTGTGGATATATAATGCATTGGGAATTGTGTATATTTAGCAGAAATTGTCCATTTTTAGTGTATTTGAGATGAAAACCGACCTTGCAGCACGTGACAAGTCGCAATAGACACTTCTGATGTTCAACTTTTTTTTCTTTACAATTACTATAAATGCTTGGGTCAAACTTGATGCATGTATGTGAAGAGGTTTAGCATTTCAGTCCAATACCTTATAGAGAGATTTCCCTGCCCGCTTTCCCTGGCATGTGCATGTGGTTTATAATATTTAATACACAGCTGCAGTATGAACATGCAATTTTACATTGAATAAAAACTGATTCATCGGGAGGAAGCGTAATACTTACACCATTAACGTTATGTATATATATAATCAACAGGAAGAAACTAAACGGCGTTTCCTTTAAAGTGGTATGATTTGTTATTTTACATAGTTTTGATAATGTGATATAACATTACATTGAGACTATTTACTTTGGCTTAAAAACTAGAAAAGACATGTTAAATTAAGTATTGTATATATCATATGTACATTGTCACGACATTCTCCTGCAAACCTACCACTGAACTGACTAACTCAAAAGAATTTTCATTAATTTTGACACGTACCGGAAAATATGCATTGGGCGAGCATGGTGATACAGATCCATGAATATTTATTATCAAAAGACTTTGCGACATCTTGTGAGAAATTATGACCACTGTGATTTTTGTGTTTTTGAAAACTCTCATGTTGTAAATTTTGAATTTACCGGATGGCAACAAATCCAAAATTTGTTATATTTATGTATACATGTATTTATGTTCATTGGCATTGAAACTTGCTGAACGATCATGCTTTTGTGTTACATGAAATCCGATTTAAATTCTATTCTTGCTAAGAGTTTTTTTTCTGTAAACGATGTTCTTTAAGTCCAGATTATGTCAACGTCATCAAACTGCAGTAACAATGATCTTCATTTCAGTTTTTCTCATGACATCTGCGGTTTAAAATTTTGTAATTATCATAATTCATAAATTGTCTAAAAAAGGCTTTTATTACCGAAACAAGTGCCTGTGCTTTTATCCTATAAAAATGCATATCTTTTTTATGGATTTATCAGCATAACTCTGAAATACAGTTCTCTCTTTCTCTCTCTCTCTCTCGTTATCCTTTAACCAGATATATTTTGTATATCTTTAAGGTTTTAAAATGACGTCCACAGAGATTCTGGTTACAGGAGCCATTGGTGTATCCATCTATCTGATCATCTTCTGTACTAAGTGTTATAAACACAAGTATGAACGTAAACAGACTGAAGACGAGAGAAAACTGATACAAAAAATAACGAAGGACAAACAGTCGCAGACAGAAAATGTCTCCAAGAAATCAACCGGTGTTGGCACGGAGTTCGACAAGAAATTAACTAATGCTGACACAGGACTGAAAAAGGAAAAGGTGAAGTCGTAAAATGTATACTTATGTATTTTAAACTTGTTATATTGAAGAAACACTTTCTCCGTTCACAATTTTTTTTTTAAAAAATCATGTATTTTCATTTATGCCTTCTTTTACAGAAAACAAGTGACGTTGGTGTACAAACGGAAGGTGGCAAAGGACCTTCTGACTTGGTTGTAAGAATTTTACTGCTTTATTTCGAAAATTAATTATCAAACATCCAGGACGTTTCCTTTGGGTTTTTTTTTTCTTTTTCTTTGTTTGTTTGCTTGGGTTTGTTTGTTTGTTTATTTATTTATTTTTGCTTTATATTTTTGGTGATTTGTTCAAGTTGAGTTTGCCATTGTAATCTAATTGATAGAAACGATTTTTTCCAAGGAGAGGATTTTTATGTGCTTTAAATTATTTTTTAAATCTTTGTCTTTTTTAATACAATATTGATTACATAAAATTAAACATTCATTTTCATAGGATAAAAAAGACAAATGTTTCCAAACAGAGAATACAGCGAGAGTTTCGATCGGAACAGATGTGTGCTTTGAAAAAAAGGTAAACCAGTTTGAGTTTTCTGTTGCATCATTTTCCATCATTACATATGTTACATCATTTACCTTTCACGAAATATTTTTTTCCTTTTTTAAACTTTAATTCATGTGAGTTGGTCTTTCTACACTAGAGCACAGAAGATCAATGTCTACAGACCGACTTCTCAGAGAAAATTGAAGCAACTGATCCGGAAATAGAAGCAATTGCTGCCCCGGAAATTGAAGCAGCTGACTCGGAAGAACACATAAGCAAGGTCTGGGTACAGGTGTTTGACTTTCATTTTCTCTTTTCTTAAGGAAGCTCTAAACACTACCAAAAAGTGCTTTTTGGACTGGGGGAAAAATATATCATATAAAGGTGTGCATATTGAGACTATTTAATTCATTTTCAACATAGGGTACCTGCCTTATTTCTGCAGTAAGAATGTTCAAAGACAATGGACTATTCGTGAGCAGAAATCACTGTTGTTTACTGACATTGGGAAAATTAATAGAAATAATGAATTCAGTTACTTATTCTTGGTCTAATATAACGCTAAGAATATTTTAATCTATTACAAATTGTGTTATTAAGTGTAAATAATTAATTTTTCTATCTTACTTCTAAAGGCAGATCACTCTAATTGCATAAAACTATCCTATAAGTAGAACTCTTTAGTGTGCAATGTTTAGAGCTTCCTTAAGTGAATGGTAGATATTTATATCATTATACAATTCGCCTTCTCAAATTTTATGGCTTTGTTATCAAGAAAGTTGTTTCATATTATTTAATATTCAAACCACGAAAACCTCCCTAAAGGAATATTTTGAACAAAGCATATGAGTAATCAAAAACTTTATGAATGCATCTGAAATGATACAAGAAGTTAAAAATAAATCTGATCGAAAGTAAGAAATAAAAATAATTTTGCCTTTCCACTAGAATGTGAACGAAGTGTTATTATAAAACAAAATTAAACATATTTGATCTCGGCTCAATAAGTACAAGTATTTCTATTAATAGTTAAATTGCTTCATTTGCAGCCTCCCACGACTGAGGATGATGACGTCATAGATGGATACCCACCACCAGAACCACCGCATCTAACCAAGTCTGAAGTCTTTAGTAGTCGAGACTTCTCTGAAGTAAAACAGCATGCTCTTCAGGTGCTTTAAGTTTTGCTCAGAATTATTATACAAATATAGCCCTTTCGTGAGGTTAATCCATAGATACATGTATACTGACTTCAAGAAAAGCATATCGACCGAGCACTTCGTGCTCGGTCGATATGCTTTTCTGTGAAGTCGATATAGGTATGGATTGGCCGAATGAAAGGGCAACATTTGATATTTTATTTTTCACAGAGATTGATAAAACAAAATTTGAAAATAATGGGAACAATCCACAAGTTTTCTCACTTGTCCTCTTTTTTTTTACATAGAGATCAAAATAAAGTAAGCGGTTTAATATCATTGTGTTGCCTTTATACCAATAGAGGTATTTAGGGAATATACCAATTAAAAAGATACATTTGTTTAATTGTAATTATTTTGTATCAATTTTTGAAAAATATATCTTATATGTTTTAATATAAAGTAGATCCATATTCAAGGCATTGTTACGTCTTATCAGTTATTACAGAACATTACAATTACAATTAGGAGTTGAAGTATCTGTTTTCCAGAAACATCAAGTCATATTAATAGCTATTTATGAAGTCAATGCAATTGTTATACATAGAAAATTAATTCCATCTGTAGCAACATGACATACATGCGTTTCAGAATCTTTAAATAGTAACTCGTTTACTTGATCATGTGATCAAGATGAGCCAATCAGAGAGTTTGGAATAATAGAGAAAATAATATATGAAAAAATATGTTCTATTCAAAAAATTATATGTAATATTTAGATGGACACTAGGGGTTCCACCCCCGTAGAATCTCGCCATGCGTTTATATTTATGATCATTTTGTATATGCTGATGGGCCGTATGGCTTAAAGTTGTTTAATATAAAGAATTATTATTACAATATTTATCTTTTATAATTACACAGGTTCCAGAGATGGAATGCAAGAGTTACGAATCTCTATTACAGTACCTTTGTGGAAATTTCGAATCAGACTTTCAGCGAGTGTATGCAATTTTTTGTTGGATTATAAACAGGAAACTTTCGGTTAATGATAATGTTAGGAGCTTAAGCAGAGACAATCCAGTACAATACCTTTATCTCATCACACAAGGGGAGGGAACTTCTGCTGGACTGATGAGCAAAATGTGCAGGTGAATTTAATATTCAATGCCATTGGTTATATATATATATATATATATATATATATATATATATATATATATATATATATATATATATATATATATATATATATATATATATATATATGGCTCAAAAACATCCAACTCCGCGTTATAATCGTTTTTTTAGGCACCTACTCAGGAAATTTTATCGAATTTGTTTACATTCAGAATTAATTTCTTCAATTATTTTTAAAAATAAGTTTTTAATTTCTTTGATCGTCTTTGTTTTTAGACAGATCAACATACCCTGCGTTATAATCCACGGCTTTGAAAAAAATGGAACGTATGAAGTTGGTAATGTCATGACAACAGAGAATCCTAGTAGCTGCTGGAACGCTGTATATATAGAGAATAACTGGTGGTTTGTTTATTGTAACGGGGCACCAACAAATGGTTGCAGTTCCATGAAAGAGGAAAATAATCCGGAGTTCAGCGTAGACGACGGGAAACAATTAGAGAGTCGGTCCTCTCCTCTTAGAGCACTCTCGCATGATTTTTACTTCTTAACGGAGCCATCGATTTTTATTTATACTTTCTATCCATTTGATGACCGTTGGCAACTTTTAAGTAAGAAGGTCAGCTTAGAAGAGTTTGAGTCCCGTCCGTTTTTGTACCCCGCCTTCCATTTCTTGAAACTTGAATTCATAGATAGGGATATTGGCTGTACGGTTGCGGTTTCTGAAACATTCAATCTTAGAATCAGATTTCCTCACATGTCAGTGGGTAAACTAAGTTTCGATTACAAGATTTCTCGTCTGAATTCTCAGGAACACGAGAGTTTGAATATGAAGAAGTACTCTCTCCATTACGTCATTGACGACGTTGCTTATTTTGACTTCCGGTTCCCTTCTGCAGCAGTAGGAGAATATAAGCTGCAGATTTTTTGCAGAGTTTTAGGTCATGTCAAAGCTGAAGTCCCAGTCTGTAAGTTTAAGTTGATATGCGAGAAAGGGATTGATTCAATTGCTCCATTACCGGTGGATTCTGAGGTTGGATGGGGAAGCACTTCTGCTAAACTTGACAAACATGGCGTCAAGGTGGTGTCACATGCTAATGGCCTTTATCCTTGGGTAGAAGATGAAATGAAATTTGATTTTGCTTATCCAGAAAATAGTGATGCTAAAGCAGAATTGACGAGAATTGGTGAAAATGAAAAATACTTTGAGAATTCCGTCAGCACTGAAAAGAAAGACCACAATGTTCATGTTTTGGTGCAGCCTCCACTTCATGAACAAGGGGAGTTTGTTTTGAAGATTTTCATTCGGGATCCAGATGCCTCTGAATTTGTTAACGTTTGCAATTATCTACTGGAAAGGACAGAGGTTAGATGAAACACATTTTCTCTTAAATTTAGAATTACATTTTTGGTCGAAATACATTAAAATTTGATTAGTATTCAGGGACTTGGGTACACTTGAATGAGTTCAAACAAATTCTCAAGAACTCATAGAGAATACTGACTTCTTAAATTATTTGTAAACCCTATTCCAAGGTTCTTTTTTTTATCTTAACAGACCCAAAGTCAAAGGAAGGCAAGAGAACGTCTTCTGAAGTTACTGAGGTCTGAAAATGTTAAACCGACAGAAGTTCAGAAAGCCAAAGAAGAGTTCCAGAAAAGCGGGGGAAAAGACTTCGGGGAGGTGGCGAAAGCTGAACGGAAAATGCATCACATATCACTCCGAAAAGGTTCACTGTTTCTTGTTACTAAAAAGGAAAAAAAACTGTTCAGCTGTATACAGTAATCCCTACACCAGCTTGTGATATTCCATCATGCTACTCCCATTACTTACAATGCAATTCTTTTTGCAGCTTTAGAAGAACTGCGAACCTACCAAGAACCACCGGATTCGGTTTTAGTCATAATGCACGCTACATATATTATTCTTGGTCGAGACGAGAAGGATATCCTGGCAAGTTATTCCCTTTAATCTTGTAATCTTTGATAAGTTTGGAAGTTTTTTTGTTACATTTAAGTTTTAGAATACTATTACTTTTAACAGTAAAAGTGAACTCTTCATGTTTATTCATCCTTACTTAGGAGTGGAAAAATCAGAAGAGACTCCACCGTAAGATAGAGGTAACGCTGAGTGAATTTGACGTGAAGCACGTGTCGGCAGATTCCTTGACCAGGGCTAAAGATGTGCTTAAGAGTATGGACAGTGCCAAGGCCCGCAAATCTAGCGCTGCCGCCGCCAAACTTTATGAATGGGTATCTATTTAAAGATTTGATAAAGAGAGAATAGCAACTGAATTGAAGAACAAATTTAATGCAGAATTGATATTTAGTAATGCCTTTAATGATTGAAAATTTTTACCTGTACTTATTTCAGGCGATAACTATAATAAAAGACATGGAAGATCAAAACAAGGATTGAATCAGGAGGCAGCACTTATATGTACAGGGCACTTCTGTATTAATCGTGCTATCTGTCATGACAAATCAACTAAAAACGAGAACATACTAAACTTCCACATTTAAAACTAGAAAAAAAGACAAATAAATATTAAAACTATAACTGTGTTTTCTTTATCAGCATGAAATACATGTATAGCACTGAGCAGAGTTACCCATTCCTGGATTGCTGTAAACTATAACAAATATTTCTGATCATGAACTGTTGATCCACATTCCATACATTGAATGTGCCATACTAATAATTCCGTACTCCTAGGTGTTAATATCTGATTATTATTATTAATCCACATTCCATACATTGAATGTGCCATACTAATTATTCCATACCCTAGGTGTTAATATCTGATTATTATTATTATCAAGCCACATTCCATACATTGAATGTGCCATAGTAATAATTCCGTACCCCTAGGTGTTAATATCTGATTATTATTATTAATCCACATTCCATACATTGAATGTGCCATACTAATAATTCCGTACTCCTAGGTGTTAATATCTGATTATTATTATTAATCCACATTCCATACATTGAATGTGCCATACTAATTATTCCATACCTTAGGTGTTAATATCTGATTATTATTATTATCAAGCCACATTCCATACATTGAATGTGCCATAGTAATAATTCCGTACCCCTAGGTGTTAATATCTGATTATTATTATTAATCCACATTCCATACATTGAATGTGCCATAGTAATAATTCCGTACCCCTAGGTGTTAATATCTGATTATTATTATTAATCCACATTCCATACATTGAATGTGCCATACTAATAATTCCGCACCCCTAGGTGTTAATATCTGATTATTATTATTAACCCACATTCCATACATTGAATGTGCCATACTAATAATTCCATACTTCTGGGTGTTTTTACCAGGTATCTGATTATTATTATATAAAAGAGTTGCTAGTTTTATACTAATGAATGTCAAACGGATGTGTCCTTCGCTCAATGATCATTTTTTCTCTCTCCTTTTTTTGGCGGGGGGGGGGGGGGATAAGTAGATTGCCATGTTTGCTCTAATGGTTCAGCATTTTCGCCAGCCAATAGGTCCAACCCACTTCCAAAGAGAAGGAGCGATTGGATACCAATCAGGACAAGGCTGTTTAATGTCGTTTACTGAAAGTATATAAAGCAGTTTATTTTGTCTTCATTCAACTTGAAACTGACAACGTTTACAGCCATAATGAACAACTATCAGCTAAAATGAAAGGTACTGAAAGAATAACACACCCCAAAGCCAGGGGGAAATAAACTTTACAGCTGAATTTGATGCGTACTGTAAATGACATAAAATTACACTCTAAACGAGTGTTATCAATATCTACATATTTAAAGATTAATATTTCCCCCAAAGAAATGTGTGGAAGATTGTTGAAAGTAAAACAAAAATTACACATTTAGGAAAGCAACCTGTAAAATTGTAACTTTGCGTTTATGTTTAGGAATGAAAATGCGGGAAAGACCCCTCTAGCTAGATGTCATGTGTCGATGGATTCTCGGTCAGAGATCTGCTGAAAAGACAAATGAAAGCGATTCCTCGAGATAAATTACAGCTGGCTTTTTGACATCAGAGACAACTTCTTCCTCAAAACAAGATGTGTTTGTGAAACACTGATGCCCCCGTATGGCAACGTAAATCAAAGGTTGAACTTTCTCAAATGCAAAACAAATATGTTTGTACCCAAAGTAAGGTCTTGTCTCGAGGAATATTCTTGTGAAATATGAAAGCCCTAGCAGCAACCATTGAATAGATATGGAAAACGTTAACGTCTTTTTCAAAAGTATGTCAAACATCAATGTCAAAATTAATGGTGCCCAAGGAAAGGCCTTCTCCCAAGAAATACACAGGTAAAATATTAAAGCCGAAGCACCAGTCATTCAAAAGTTATGTCCAAGGTTAAAGTTTTCCAAAAGTAGGTCAATCTCCAAGGTCAAGGTCAGAGGGTCAAAGTTGTTGGTATTCGAAGAAAGGTCTTGTCACAAGGATTACACATGTGAAATATGAAAGCTCTAGCACTTACCGTTCAAAAGTTATGGCCAAGGTTAAAGTTTTCCAAAAGTATGTCAAACTCCAAGATCAAGGTCAAAGGGTCAAACTTGTTGGTATCTAAAGGAATGTCTTGTCAAAAGAATTACACATGTGAAGTATGAAAGCTCTAGCACTAACCGTTCAAAAGTTATGGCCAAGGCTAAAGTTTGGTAAAATTCAATCTAATTAAAATTAGATGTTCCGAATCCGCTACCGCTTCTCAAACATCTAACAACATCCCATTAGGGATCACGTCAGACGACCTTTCGATTACCCAATGAAATCGCCGTCTCTGAAATCTTGGCTTATAGTTCGGATGCGTTTCTATTTTTACTGCCACACCTTAACGCCCGAGGGGTTTCGTAGTAAACAAAATATGCACGGCAAAGACCGTCCTATATTAGTATATATGAATGTGACGTGCGGGATATATAGATGTATACATGTAGTTTGTGCATTTTCGTTTGCATTGTTTGCATTATTCAGGTAAGAATGCCAGATTGGCGGACTATACGTTCAATTTATACCAAAATTACTTTAATTCAACGTAAAACAGTCTACTGAGCATCAATAATGTAAAGATGTAGCCGTGGAACTAATTTTAGAATCGTATACAGAAGGTTGAATCTGATTGGCCAAATTTTTTATGTTTATTCATAATCGAAAGGTCGCTCTGACGTGACCCCTAATGAGATGTTGTTAGATGTTTGAGAAGCAGTAGCGGATTCGGAACATCTAATTTTGATTGGGTAAAATTTTGCAAAACTGGGTCAAACTCCAAGGTCAAGATCAAATATGGTGGTACCCAAAGAAAGGCCTTGTCACAAGGAATACACACGTGAAATATGAAAGCCATAGCTCCAACCGATCAAAAGTTATGGGCAAGGTTAGAGTTTTTGCGGACTAACAGACAAACAGACGGACGGACAGGGCAAAAACTATATACCCCCGAATCTTCGATTCGGGGGCATAAAAATGGAAACATAAATTTTTAGCTCACCTCAACGAAGTTGGCGTCGGTGTCTCAGGTTAAAGTTTTTGGAGCAGTTTTCTTTTTCAAGTACTTCCATGCCCTATATTAATCAGAGATGCATGGAGAATGCTTCTAGTGTGTTTCATTGTACAAGTCAAGGTTTCAGATGCTGCATTTCAGCAAAAGAATGACCAGGTTAATGTTTTTGGAGCAGGTTAAAGTTTTTGGAGCAGGTCTCATTTCCAAGTAACTATAGGTCCTATATTGACCAAACTTGCATGGATGATACATCTAAGGATGCACACTACTGGACTTGCTTCAGATGCTGGATCTGACCTACATTTTCCGGATTAGTGATCAATTTAAAGTCTTTGGAGCAGATCTTATTTCCAAGTAACTTTAAGCCCCATATTGACCAAACTTGCATGGATCATACACCTGATGATGGACACTACTTGACTTGCTTCGGATGATGGATCTGATCTACATTTTCCGGATGAGTGACCAGGTTAAAGTTTTTGGAGCAGATCTCATTTCCAAGTAACTTTAAGTCCTATGTTGACCAAACTTGCATGGATGATACATCTAAGGACGCACACTACTGGACTTGCTTCAGATGCTGGATGACCTATATTTTCTGGATGTGTGACCAGGTTAAAGTTTTTGGAGCAGATCTCATTTCCAAGTAACTATAAGGCCTATCTGAACCAAACTTGCATGGATGATGCATCAAGGGATGAACACTCTCAAACTTGCTTCAGATGCTGCATTTGACTTACATTTTCTGGATGAGTGACTAATTTGAAGTTTTTAGATAAGTCCATTCCCAAGTAACTGCAAGCCCTATCAGACCAAAATTGTATAAATGTTACATCTAGGGATGTACATTACTAGATTATAAGTTAAGTGTGGGACTTTGCCTTACTTAAAGACAACATTCGCTGAGGTGAGCTCTGTAATCTCCGATTACCTATGTTTATGTCTTGCGACTGGTCATCTACAAAATTATTTTTGTTAAAAGTCACTCTGATTTTACACACAAATACTCTGAAATTGATAGTTAAAAGGTGCTGGTGCTCCTCATTGAAATCTTTGTAGTCTTGGAGGCCAGGTCTTCCAACAATCTGTTGGAATTCCAATTGGCATTAATTGTGCTCCTTTATTAGCCAACCTGATTTTATATTCCCATGAAGCAGAATATATTCAAAAATTTCTAAATGAGAAGAAAACTCTTGTTGTGGCCTTCAACTCGGCATTTAGGATTTTAGATATATCATTTAACAATAGTTAGTTCATTCATACATATATGTAGACCCGATATATCCCAGTGAATTCGAAATGAAAGACGCCACAGACTCTGTTTCATATTTGGATGTTTTACTGACAATGTACGATAATGGCTAACTAACAACCAAACTTTATGACAAATGAGATGACCTGCTTTTCAGTGGACAACTTTCTTTTGTGTAGGAACATTCCATTATCGCTGTATATGGTATTAATGTTTCCAAACTGATTCGATACACAAGAGCGTGCTCTGAGTTTTATCAATATTTAATCAGAGGCGGGCTACTTACAAATAAGTTGGTACTAGGATTTCAACATCGTTGAAAGTCAGTTTTTTGCAAATTGTATGGTCGTTATAATGACCTTACGTGAAAATATAACCTATCTTTTCGTCATATTTTGTCCTACATGTTTCCCACCAATTGTTAGGTCATTGTTTTCTACTAAATTTGACTATGGATTATTCCGTCTACCTGAGAAATACATAAAGCTCACGGCAAGGGGTGACCGGTCGAAAGAGGGGGTCTTTCTCCTGCCAGGCACCTGATCCCACCTATATCCTCTGGTGTTTCTAGGTGTCTGTGTTTTTGTCCTGTTCACGATCCGTACACTTTACTGGATTTATGAGGTTGATCACTGTTCGTTATCTTCACATTTCACGGATTGTATACTTCACATTCTCTTCGTATGTGGATGACTTTTTTCTCTTTAAGATCAAAGCAGTTTCCAGGACAGTGATTATTGCTTGCATCAAAGTTTTTTGCTAAAAAATATAATGATCAAAATTCTTTAATG